CGCTTAGACTGACGTCCGGGATATCATCGGAATAGTGTCGGATAAGACTTGCTCTTATCACTACTCACACTTGCGTGTGGCTCCAACGATGACGTATACAGCTGCCCATAGCACCTCTCAATATCGCTCAGGACCTCAGGTGTCCCGGAAACGATGCTGTCACATTCGTCTTCAGCTTCGATCCCTAATAGATTGATAAGGGGGATAATTGCCAAAGTTGTTATGCTTGGAAAGCCGGTTGGCAACCACAGTTTTTACCTGATAGTTAATACCTGAGAAAAGAACGACAGACGGACAGATGAATGGACGGATGACAAAGTGGTCCTATAAGGGCTACGTTTTTTTCTTTTTGATGAACGGAACCCTAAAAATCCCTTAACGTAATATTAGATGGAATAGAAAATTTCTTAATCATCTTAGCCAAGTTGATGGAGTGACTTATTAACCAAGTACGGTGCGCATGATGACCGAAATGTCAATATCAATAAACTGTAGTGTAGTGCCGATTGCTTAAGATTTAATTTCCAGTAAATTCTTTGCAGTTTTTTATCAAGTTCATGAAGTATAATTTATAAACATATCAGTACTAAATTTTGTGACATCTCCACCGCATCAAAATATGGAGTAAACCTTATTGAAGTTTAGGTCTAATGCATGAATTATACCTATGTCTTCATTACCACTGCGTGATGAGAGAGGTAAAAAAACATTTCATCATCATTCAATCATCAATTTCTTTCCGGTTTGTTATCTTCTCTATGTGATTTTGATTCATATAATCATCTAAAGCTTATGTGTACTCTTCTGTCACCTGTTCGTAGTTTAAATCTTTACAAAGCTATCGCTCCCATTTTTCCTTGAGGATATTCAGGTTTCTTCACGTCGTCGTTTTATACATCTTTTCACATTTTTCTCCTTCTCCGCCATTCCCATTCGATCGTGTCTTTCGATTTCTCAAAATTATTATAGAATATCATCATCTTTTACTTGCATATGTAATCAATTTGAGAAAAGTGTCCCCTAATGTCATAAAAATATTACCTAATAATTTATTAATAAATTAAATACAGAACAAATAAATATTAAATTGACACCGAATGCTTTGACAAATTTAATAATAACTATTTTTAAGCATTAGCAGAGAGATAACTACAAAAATTCGATTATCTACAACTGTAAAAAATAACGAACTACTTGAAAACCATCAAACCGGACCATCACACTATTTTGTTTTGATAGAAACTGACCCGGACGAAATAAGCCGATACTAAGTAGTTTAAATTCTGAGTTCATCCGGGGTAAGCCAATATTATTTCAACACGAAATTTGTAAGGCAAGAAGTTGTATCATTTGGCTAATTTTTTATTTTAAAATGGGCACTTTTCCTTTTCAATTAAAACCGTCCATAATCACCTTAATAATATTTGGAAGAGCGCCAGCGCTGCTGCCTATCTACTGGTTTTATTTCGCTCTGTGGCCTCTTATTACACGGGACCATATAGGTTAGTAGATGTTCTTACACCGAGTCTATACAGTTATTTATTTAATTTAATATAAAATATTTCTTAATATAAGTAGACAAATACGTTCAGTAGATGCGTATAAAGGATAATGGCGAAATAATATGTGATGGAATTATTAAGCGTCTACTTAAGTCACCATTACAGATATGAACGGTTCCCACACATCCCACACCTCTATATAAAAAGATAGATACGGAGGTGATGTGGTGATATAAACGTGGCTCTCTATGTCATGGCTTACGCAGGATACAAGAAAACTAATGGGTCGGAGGGCCAAAACTAAGTAAAGGAAAACAATGAAAAAATTAGAAAATAATTTAACTCCTTTGTAACTTTGTCACAGAACTAGAAATGATCATAAAACTGAAGTGGCAATGTGCTGGCCATATAGCTAGAAGAACCGACAACCGATGGAGATGAAAGGTTCCCGAGCGGTAGCTTCATACCAGTAGCGAAATTTAGGAAGCCCCCACACGAGCACTATATGCAGTTACGACTTTGTAAATCAGCGGTGGTCTTGTTAAGGGATGTAAATAAATAATGTAAAAGGTATTATTGTTAAGGCAAAGTCAGAGCACATCGGCAGAATTGACGAGAAACTAGTTCGTCTTCCTTCGGGAACACGTGAACATCTTTGCATCTCTGTACAGGGAGGACCCCTCACTGACCCATGCCGTAAAGGATAAAGCCGATCTGCTCTCTCTTTGCGTCCAACTCGACTCTTGATGACGGGGAAAACACACCGCCGACCACCCCGCGGTGTGAGTGCTCCATGCAGGATGTCCTATTTACCCAACGCTCAGTGCGCAGAGCACTCCTATCTCTGGACGTCAACAAATCAAGTAAGCCGGATGGCGTCCCTCCTATTGTGCTGAAGACGTGTGCTCCGGAGTTGGCACCGGTTTTAACGCGTCTTTTCCAGAACTCCTACTCCCTCGACATATTCCCGAAATCATGGAAAACAGCCCTCGTGCACCCGATCCCTAAAAAAGGTAACCGCTCTGATCCGTCCAACCATAGGCTTTTCGCTATCACCTCCTTGTTCTCTAAAATAATGGAATCTGGTATTAACATCACCAGCTGATTAGTGACTGCTAGTACGGTTTCCATGATCTTCTGGGTTACCTAACTCATAAATGAGCGGATACCATCCATACCATCTGGATGACTGGCGATCCACCACCGTGCGATTTAAAATAAGTTTTCTTCCTTCCTCGTTCCTTCCTTGTGGAATCGACTACCACCGGAAATTTTTCTGGACCGATACGACTTAGGGACCTTGAAGAAAAGGCCGGCAACGCATCTGCAGTTCCCCTGGTGTTGCAGTTGTTCATGAGCGGCGGATCTTCACTTACCATCACTTACCATCAGGTGAGCCGTATGCTAGTTTGCCCCCTTTACTATTAAAAAATGTAATGTTGAGAAAAGCTAAAAGAAATAAAAGTGTGATCCCTTCGCTTGTCTTCAAAGCATCAAATATCATAGCCGATATTTCTGAACAACTAATGACTAAGTACGATACGTTAATAAAATATGGGAATGGTCCCCTAGCCCCAGCACTCAGGTATTGTGCGGTGGAAACCTCACAAACACATAGAAAACTTCGATCTCAGTAACTACGAACTGTTACAACGAACCTGGATCTAGAATTAGAGCCTTTTACGAAGTCAACAGTGAGCTGTGTGAACACAAAGCCTAAGTAACAATACTTAAATAATTAAGATATTCTAGAATGTTCGATAAAATCGCTAAAATCCCCTAGAATATTTCCAAAGTGCAACGATGTGTGCACTCGCATGAGTCAGGTGTCCGGGTCAAGGTCGGTGAAAGAAGCCTCACACAGCACGGCGCGGCGGCCGACGAAAGTGCGCACGCGCGCGTTGACAGTTAAAATTATGTCACTTAAAGGCCGTGATTCGATCGCGCGGGAATGTTGTGCAATCAGACGCGTCTAACCGTTTTTCCATTTTTTACACGTTTAATTTATCGTTTTTGCTTTTAATTTCATACAATTTGTTTACCTAAGTGTATATTTTATAATTTCAAACGTTTTTATTAACATGCCTTCGTGTGTCTGTTCGGGTTGAATTTAGTGATTGATTTTAAACTAACTCCCCGATGAGTTAGAGAATTGAAATTTCTAATTTCGAATCGAAAATTCAGAATTGTATGACTGGGTGCGTTTGGCAAAAAAAAAGCGCTAGCAAACGCTTGTAAGCAAAATGGCGAAACGAAACAGTTTTCGGCCAGGACTCGTTTGCTAACTTCAGTAGCGCTGACACAATCCGCCATTTTGCTAATTTAATTTGTTTGTTTTGAAGTAGAGTTTATAAGTTGTTTTGTGCAATATTTAAGTGTTATAATGACATGAATAAACATATACATGTTATTAAAAATTCATGATTGGTAAGTTTTTAATATGAATACTTTACAAACATATATTTAAATTAGGTTAGGTTCCCCGGTTAAAATTAAACTTCGTGTCCTAGAGGAAAATAGCTACTTACGATTTGACAGCGCTTACCGCTTACGATCGCAATTTTGCTTACAAGCGCTTGCTAGCGCTTTTTTCTGCCAAACGCACCCAATGTAATATACGAAAAAATGGTGTATTAAAAATTCATAATTTAATAAAAAATAACTTCTTTATAATAATAATAATAATAAATGGATGATGGAAAAAAAGATAGTGCGCAAAGGGCCGCTGCCTGGAGGTCGCCAGGGCGCGTCTGGAGCTGGCGCTGGACGCGACAGAATGCGGGCCGCCAGCCGAGCGCGGGGTGTTGCAAGACCACCTAGCAGCCCCCCGCATCCATCATCCCCACCAGAAGGCTTGGTGTCGGCTGGGTCTTCTCGGACTCAGCAAGCGGCACACGCCGCTGGTGGAGCACGTCGCATGCGTTGGTCAAAATTAATGAATGCAAACGCACTGCGGGCGTATTTTAGGGCAAAAGGGGAAGAAACTGGATGTTTGGCGTATCGGGCTCGGATGCATCGCTTTTTTGCAGAGCTGGAGCCATCTCTATCCGTCACTGAGCAAAACCTGGCAGACCGAGTTCGGTACATCCTGCGCTCCAACATATTTGGTGACGCCGAACTCGAACGACTACGACGTGAGGCTATTCCTTCATCGAATGGAAATGCTACGGCTGGGAATGCGGCGCCACTAGATGCGCAACAAACTGCATATGTGGATGCTGCAGTCAACATTCCATTTGTGGCTAATTCAGACGATGATGGAATAGTCTCCCACGAGCTAGAGAAAATGAGGAGCATATTGGAAGAGTCGATGCTGGAAACGCGCAGCATGCCTCTCGAAAATCGACCGCGACTTCCCCCGCATACCCCTTAGCAAGCGAAATCGGGCTGTCGTGCGGGCTCTTAACCCAATGCTGGTGACCTATTTGGAAGCCAGCCGGGACCTTTGCGAGACGGACTCAATTCTTTTTGGCGCCGCACTGGCAGTATGCCGTATTATTGGCGCCAAAATTCCCGTGGTTGGACGTGCTACTCAAAAAAGAAGCGCCATCCCAGCCTGGAGAAAAAGAATTGAGGAACCGTATCGCAAAGGCAAGGGCCCTTATCGGCAGACTGACAAGCTTCAGGTCGGGTAATAATAGACCGAGAGTTGTGCGCACCGTTAGAATGGCGTTTGCTGGGACAAATTTTAGTTTGTCCCAGCCGGATATCACGCAAAAACTAACGGAGCGCATAGATGACCTGAAGCAAAAAATCGCTGCTTGGGGGAAGCGGATTCGACGATTTAGCGAGAGGTCAAGGCGGTTCAACCAGAATCGTCTCTTCCAGAGTGATCAGAAGAGGCTCTATAAATCATTGGAGCGACCAGAGGTATGTGGAGTGGGCCCAGGACCGGATCAGGCTGACACTGTCGCATTTTGGCGTGGCCTGTGGTCAGAGCCCGTAAACCACAGCGAGGGCCCTTGGATGGAAGTTGTGGCGAGCCAGAGTACAAGTGTTACGCCTATGGACCCCGACATGGGGGACCATAACGCCTGAAGACGTGGCTGAGGCGGTCCGTAGGGCCCCGAACTGGAAAAGTCCGGGGCTCAACGGGCTGCATCATTACTGGCTGAAGGGGTTCGTAGTGTGTCACGCTGTGCTCGCCCGACAGTTTCAAGAGGCTCTCGATCAGAAGTCGCTCCCGAGCATCTTTACTACTGGGATCACTCATTTGGTTCCTAAAGATCAGGATACCACAGACCCGAGCAAATACCGCCCCATCACGTGTCTACCCACCATATATAAGACACTGACATCCATTTTGAGCGCGAGAATCACTCGTCACCTGGAGCTAAATCAGGTGATGTCACGCGCTCAAAATGGATGTCGGGGCGGTGGTCGTGGAATCAAGGAACCACTCCTCATTGACGCGGTCATTAGCAAAGTGGTGAAACGCAACCATCGGAATTTCTCCGCCGCCTGGATAGACTACAGAAAGGCATTCGACTCGGTGCCCCATACATGGCTAAAGAGAGTCCTCCAGCTGTACAAAATTGACTGTACAGTTGGAGACTTCCTCGAGCAGAGTATGGGGTAATGGAGTACGATCCTTTGCTATCTGGGCGAGCGGATGATGGCTGCGGAGAACCACATAAGGATAAGAAGGGGTATCTTCCAGGGCGATTGTCTGATTCCAATCTGGTTTTGCCTCTCTCTGAACCCTCTCAGTACTTTATTAGAGGGCTCCGGGAGGGGATTTCAGCTTCGGAAAGGAGGTACAAAAGTGACCAACCTTTTCTATATGGATGACCTCAAGTTAATCGCCTCCAGTCGCTCCCATCTTGTGGAATTGCTAAACATCACTTGTGAATTTAGCAATTCTATTGGAATGGAGCTAGGAACGGATAAGTGTGCGGTCCTCCATGTTGAAAGGTGAAGGGTTGCTAACTCTGAGGGCATAGACTTATCTATGCCCGTCAACTTAAGGACCCTTTCCGAGGCTGAAACATACCGATACCTGGGTATGTCACAGAACATCGGTACCGATGAGGCTGGTATGAATCAGTCAGTTTGCGACGTGTTTTATGCACGCTTGACCAAAGTGCTTAACAGCCTATTGTCCGGTGTGAATAAGACACACGTATATAACGGTTGGGTCATGCCTGTCCTCATGTATACCTTTGGCATACTCAGGTGGACCCAGACTGAACTTAACGCTCTGGATAGAAAAGTCCGCACTACCTGATGCACTACGGATGCATCATCCGAGATCGTCGGTAATGAGGCTGTACTTGCCGCGAAAGCATGGTGGGCGTGGTTTTCTGAGCGCGCTCACCATGCATAATCGCGAAGTGTGCAGCCTCCGTAATTACTTCCTGGCGAGATCGGATGATCCATTCTATAATGACGTCATTTCTAGTGATAAGGGGCTTACTCCTCTATCCTTAGCCAACGAGCAATGGCAGGACCCAGCAGTGCTTAGCAATTCCGACCGGGAGACCGTATGGAAGGAGAAGGAGCTCCACGGGAGGTACTATAGGGCTCTACATGAGCCCTTTGTAGATACAGTCGCCTCCCTCAACTGGCTACGTTCGGTGACCTCTTCGGAGAGTTTGTCTGTGCGATACAGGATCAGGTTATTAAGACCAACAACTATCGGATACATCCTAAAGGATGGCACTGTCGACATCTGTCGAGCTTGTCGCCATCCCGGGGAGTCACTTAGGCATGTCATCTCCGGTTGTTCGGCGCTTACTAACTCTGAGTACTTGCACAGGCACAACCTAGTAGCCAGATTTCTACACCAGGAGCTCGTTCTGAAATACGGTCTCGTGGACCGAAAATTGCCGTATTACAAGTACTTGCCGGACTCGTAAGAAATACCAGGCGACTTTTAAAACAGCCTAGATTGAATGCGAGACGAGAATGGCTGTATCCTGAATGATGAAGTGTTGAGTCTAAAGAGATGGAAGGAATATTTTGAAAGCGAATTTATGAGTGAGAAGAAGTGTGAACTAAATGAAATAGAAATTCCGAAAGTAGATGAAAGAGATAGGCAGATAAGTATAGATGAAATAATGAAAGCAATGAAAAGCATGAAAGTAGGTAAGGCAGCCGGATATGATAGAGTTTCACTCGAAATGCTAAGGGCTGGAGAGGACGTGGTGGCAGGCCTGCTGTACACCTTGTTTAATTTATGTTGGGAACTAAAGCGGGTACCGGGAGACTGGTGCAAAGCCGTGATAGTCCCAATATATAAGGGAAAAGGGTCACAGCAGCCGGGCTAGCATGAGCCGGAGAGAATATATCCCCGGGGAAGGGATAAAATTTTTATCCCTTGCTTAGTTTTATCCACCCTGCGAGCATGGGCAAGAGACAAAAATTATATCCCCCCGATTATATCCACTGACCAGAGATAAAATTATCTTATCTCTATAACATATACCCGTTTGATATAACGAGTAGACATATTTCTCCCCGTCCGTAGCATGAGGCCATGGGAAAGAGAAAAAATTATCCCTTTTTTGACATTTGAAAGGGACAATTTTATCCTCTTTCGCGGACGTGGGTTTAAGTTTATCTTCAAACCATTTTAATACGAAAAAGATGTCTCGAGCCTATTGCAACTACATTTTCGTGTCAGAAATTGAAAAACAAGAAAGAAAATTACACCAGCGATCGATACGTGATCAGAATACTTAATCTATTGGAATTCTCCGACAACGAATTTCTACGCCGGTTTCGGATGCTCAAAGATTGTTTTGTATTTGTGTAAAGAACTCTATGAGGCTTTAAAGCCTATTAATTCTGTGGATGGACTACCAGTGCATATTGAAGTAAGCATCTATTACAACCACCTTGTCCAAAAACATCGTATATTTGCAATCAATGCATGTGGCTTATGTAACTTATCTTAATATTTTTTCCAGATGGTAGTTACCTACTAGAGAGGTACGATTCAAGACCATGGCATGGCTGTTGTTCAAACAACAAATAATCAGCAAATACTTGACCTAAATTATTGGGGCCATCATTAGAATGTGTGGAGCAATATACTTTAATTTGCCTCTTGTGTAGGTAAATACAAGTTTAAACACTAATACATAATATTAGGAATACAAATAACACAATACTCATGATTATAAAATTATTTATTCCTTCTTTTGTTTGAAATCATTACATTTTTATTCATGCTTTATCATTTTCAATTAAAATTAAATCTTTGTGACTTAGAGTAGACATCAATTTTGATGTATTTTGTAATTTTCGTATAATGGCAGTAATTGCGGGGATATTTTTTTTAATTTTCTCAAGAGGTTACACCACCTCCAAAGGGTCTGTATTGTCCAGTTTCGCAATTGGCTTAATTCTAGACACATATTTTTTTAATAAATGCTATTACAAGCGAAGTAATACCTGCGATTTGATACAAGCAATGTATACTTAACTTAAATATTATACAAAAGAAAATAAAGAAAGAATTAGAATAATAGAAAAAATAAAAACAAGACAGAAATACGCTTAAAATAAATATAACAAATATTATAAATGACATATTGTTTAACAAAAATTATTAACAGTTTAGCAATATAATTAACAAAAGGAAAATATAAGTTAATGTAAATCTATTTAATCTTAAAAGAAGTTTATAGCTAGTATAGTTTATAGCTTTATACTATCGTACAAAGATGTTTTATAAAACATCTTTGCTATCGTATATTATCTATGCGCGGGGATAAGTTTATCTACTGTCGATATTATATCCACCATAGGCCCATGCTCGCAGGGTGGATAAAGCTTTGACATAGGGATAAGACAATTTTATCCCTTGTCAGTGGATATAATCGGTGGATAAAATTTTTATCCCCTGCTCATGCTAGCCCGGCAGGACTGTAAAAACTCCCGTGGTATCAGCCTTCTTAGCATTGTGGGAAAACTGTATGCTAAGGTACTAATTGAAAGAGTTATGAAAGAAACTGATGAAAAAATTTGGGATGTGCAAGCGGGATTTAGAAAGGGAATGGGGTGTACAGATCAAGTCTTTTCCATGCGCATGATCGCGGAGAATTTTTTGGCGAAAAACCAAAAAGTTTTTTGTGCGTTCATGGACTTGGAAAAAGCTTATGACAGAGTGGACAGGGATGTGTTATGGCAAACGCTGAACGCATTTAGGTTGAGCGCTGGTTGTGTGTGGCATTAAAGTCTCTGTATAGGGACTCGAGTGCTTGTGTTAGAATCAACGGGGTGTACTCGGACTGGTTTGGCATCCATAAAGGTGTCAGACAGGGCTGTGTAGCTTCCCCGTGGCTGTTCAACCTATTTATGGACAGCTGTTTGGAAAATTTGAAAGTTGAAGAATGCGGGTTAAGAATGGGTGAGTTAACCATCAAATGCCTTTTGTACGCCGATGATCAAGTCATACTTGCGTCGTCGGCGGCCGAGTTGCAAATGATGGTTACATTAATGAACAGGTCATTAAAAGAAAGGGGAATGAAAGTGAACGCAAGTAAGACGAAAGTGATGGTTTTTGAAAGAGATGAAAGCAAGACGGTATGTGAAATAAGAATAGAAGGAGAGTTAATTGAGCAAGTGGATGAGTTCGTATATTTGGGATGTGTATTCAGCAGGGATGGGAGATATGATAAGGATATTGAACGACGAGTGAATGCAGGAAATAAAGTAAATGGGGCTCTACACTCTATTGTGAAAAGTCAGAATGTGTCAAAAAAGGCACGAATGGCAATTCATTAGTCCCTACTTTAACGTATGGTAGTGAAAGTTGGGTGCGGCAGAAGAAGCACGAGAGTAGAATAAATGCAGTAGAAATGCGGTCGCTAAGGAGTATGTTAGGGCTGAATCTGAGTGACAGGGTGAGAAACTGTGTGATAAAAGAAGAGTGTGGTTTGCAAGATGATGCAGTGACCAGGATTAAGAAAGGAATGCTTCGGTGGTTTGGTCATGTAGAAAGAATGAATGCGGAAAAACTGACAAAGCAAATATATGTTGCAGAAGTGAATGGAAGAGTCGGAAAGGGACGTCCTAGGCGGAAGTTTGTC